AATGTATGTCTCTGTGAGCATGTTTGCGTTTTTGTCTGAGACCCTATGTGTATGGGGTAGCTGCTTGAAGTGTGTTGTGTGTATGGGGGGGGTGATGGTGAGAAGGAGAGGCGGGTGATGGTGAGAGGCGGGTGATGGTGACAGGGAGGTGATGGTGTGGGGGGTGATGGTAATGTGAGAGTGAGGGGGTGTAACATGAGAAGGAGGAGGGGTAATGTGAGAAGGAGGAGGGGAGGTAATGTGAGAAGGAGGAGGGGGTAATGTGAGAAGGAGGAGGGGGGGGTAATGTGAGAAGGAGGGGGGGTAATGTGAGAGTGAGGGGGTAACGTGAGAAGGAGGGCGGGTAATGTGAGAAGGAGGAGGGGGTAATGTGAGAAGGAGGAGGGGGTAATGTGAGGAGGGGTGATGTGAGAAGGAGGGGGGTGATGGTGAGGAGGGGTTGATGCTGAGGGTGGTGGGGGTGGTGAGGGGGTGATGCTGAGGGTGGTGGGGGGTAAGGGTGGGGGGTGGTGATGCTGAGGGTGGTGGGGGAGGCTGAGGGTGGTGGGGGGAAGCTGAGGGTGGTTGGTGGTGGTGATGCTGAGGGCGGTGGGGGGGGTAGTGAGGCTGAGGGTGTGGGGGGTAGTGAGGCTGAGGGTGGTGTGGGGGGTGGTGATGCTGAGGGAGTAGTGAGGCTGAGGGTGTGGGTGCTAGTGAGGCTGAGGGTGTGGGTGCTAGTGAGGCTGAGGGTGGTGAGGCTGAGGGTGGTGTGGGGGGGTAGTGAGCCTGGGGGTGGTGTGGGGGGTAGTGAGGCTGAGGGTGTTTGGGTAGTTAGGTCAGAGAGATCAGATGAGTCCTTCAGGACTGTAGTGGACACTGAATACACTAGCCTACCTATCAAATTAGCAGCAGCTACACTGTCCCTCCTCTCACTAAGAATGAAGCTTCACAATGAATGTAAAATGGATGCTGTCCAGGAGGTGGGAGGGTCTGGGAGGGAGGGTCTGCTGCTGATTAGCTGGAATGTGTCTGCTGACTGTGAGATACAGGGTCAAAGTTTACTCAATGATGACGAATAGGGGGCGGACCGAACAGCGCAAATGTTCGCCGTCCGTGGCGAACGCGAGCAAGCGATGTTCGCCAGGAACTATTCGCCAGCGAACCGTCCAGGACATCACTACATAAGACCTTTTCTGGAAAGCGCCCGCCCTACCTAAGAAGAATGCTCTCCCCAGCTGTCCACACATCCTTTAACCTCCAATACAGTACTAGCACGATATTTAGCATACCGCAATACAAAATAAAGTGTCTCTCATCATTTTCCTACAGAGCACTGCAATTATGGAATAACCTCATGGACGCAGTCAAATCTTCATTCAGTCGAAAATCTTTTAAGAGAACTATGGCAACATACCTCAGCACAGAACATCTGTCATGGTTGAATATATTTATCACCTGTAATGTGTTATATACGTGTGTGTGTATGTATATATATATATATATATATATATATATATATATATATATTGTTTGTATATTGTATTTTTTGTAATATTGTATCCTATTGTAATAATGCAATGTTTTGTGGACCCAGGACATTCTTGAAAACGAGAGAAATCTCAATGTATCTATCCTGGTAAAATATTTTATAAATAAAATAATTGTGGACTACGCAGCACATTGTCATGGGTGGCAGTCCGAGGACCGAGACCCCTGTATGCCAGATGATGATGATGATAGGAGTCTCAGCGTGGAAATGAACAATCAGGGCCTAGTGCAGGGTAACCACATGCCGCCTAGTGTTGAGAACCAACATTTGTGCGGCCACATACCAAGGCCCTGATTCAGCTTCTTCAGATCCCAGGTGCTAGATGATAATATGCAGACCTCACAGGATCTGGATATGGAGGCTCTGCAGCAGATATGTATCCAGTACTAGAAACAAGGCAAGACTAGAATAGGCACCAAACAAGACAAGACTAGAAGAACCCAGAACCGGAGAAGGACACAAAGCAGAACCCAGAACATGTACACAATATATGATGGAAACATGAACAGGACATGGACAGGGCAGGACAGGACAGTACATGAATTGGGAATACAAGACAAAATAAAACAAGACAAGAGATACAAGGCAAAACAAGAGGAGACATAACTAAGTACTATATATGTAATAAACATTGGAGATTTAGACAGATTTAGATATACATAAATGGACAAGATGTATGCACAGGGACGTATTAGCCGCGAGGCAAACAAGGCATTTGCCTTGGGCGGCAATTTCCAAGGGGTGGCAAAAAACGCCGCCCCCAAATGCCTGGGCAAATGCCTTTTCAGCCTGGCGGCTAACAGTCCAGGCAGGCGGTTGTCCGGCTAAAAATCCGGTTGGGCGGCACTGGCAAGGGAGCTGAGCAGAGAGCTCGGGGGAAAGTGCTCCCTCGCTAGTGCCGCCCGACCAGATTTTTAGCTGGACAACCGCCTGCCTGGACTGTTAGCCGCCAGGCTAACAAGGCATTTGCCCAGGCATTTGGGGTGGCGTTTTTTGCCACCCCCAAGGCAAATGCCGCCAAAGGCAAATGCCTTGTTAGCCTTCACAGACAGTGTTTGTGACTAAGTGGCTACTAAGAAAGACTGGACATACCCCACTTACAATACCTTGGGTTGTCTACTTTTGCAAATGGTATGCCATCATGGGGGTAATTATCATTCCTGGGCTACCATACGCTCTCAAAGGCAACATAACCAATCTGGCAAATTTCAATGTCAAAAAATGAAATGCAAGCCTTATATGTGACTCTCTAACTTTCCAAAACACCATAAATCCTGTACATGGGGGTACTGTTATTCTCGGGAGACTTCATTAAACACAAATATTAGTGTTTTAAAACCGGTAAAACATATTACAACAATAATATAGTCCATAAAAGTGCCGTTCGTTTGTAAAAAATGCAAAAAATGTCACTTTTACTTAAAATATCATTGTTGTAATACAATTTACCAGTTTGAAACACTAATATTTGAGTTCAGCAAAGTCTCCCGAGTAAAACAGTACCCCTTATGTACAGGTTTTATGGTGTCTTGGAGAGTTACAGGGTCAAATATAGTGCTTGCGAATTAAATTCTCTGCACTTTCTCCCTGTGTTGTCAGGCATGTCAATCAAGTTTTATTGAATCAAATCACATAATTACGTTAAAAGATTACTTAAACATACACGTAGAATTTTAATATATATGCATTTATATGTATTTAAATTCTACGTGTATACTAATGTAATCTTTTATGTAATTATATGTATTTATCTATATATATAAAAAAGCAAACAAATCTTGCACTCCACTAATTCAACATTAAATGCCCGGTGCTTGTCAGCCAAAAATCCAGAAATATTGCCAAAGATAACACTCCAGGGACTATTATAAAATATAACTTTTATTACCTCCACTAAAACAGCACAAAGTCAACGTTTCAGCTTGGTCCCCTCAAGCTTTCGTCAGGACATACTGTAAATACAAACAAACCCACATATATAGCATAAAAAATGATAATTCCTCACCCCACCTGTGATGCATCTGACTCCATGAACGCTCGGACCGGGACTGCCGCGGGCTACCCGACGAGCGTCTGCAGCCACGTGGCGTCGCGCTCAGTGACGCGGCCAGGAGTCATCACCATGGATACAAATCAACAGCCACAGATCGTGAATGACATACAGCGTGTAAAATAAAAACAATGTTGCAAAACTCTTTAGCAACAGGTGGATGAAACATATCAACTTCATTATATCCAAATAGATCAGCAGAAATAACACACTTGTGATCTAAAGCTGGAAGACCACAAACCAAAATAAGAAAATAAAACGATAAAATAAAAACTTGAAAAAATAAAGAAAATAGAAAAAATAGAAATGAAAAGTAACATATGAACAAAAGATAAATAATAAAAAAATAAAAAAATGGCAAATAAAAAAGAAA